GGTCTTTGAGGTCCCTCCCAACCCAAACCATCCTGTGATTCCATTCTAGGATTCAAGGTTTGGTTTCTGCTGTGCATATATTCGCAGAGCTTTACACACTATTGCACATAGAGGTCTTAGGGCCTTCGGCCCCACAGAGACCCAGCTGCTGTCTCAGAACACCTCGCAGATTCCCATCTTTGACACAAAGGGGATGGATCAGAGCCAATAAAGGGTCTTTGTTCTCCTCTGACACACCAATTGACCTAAGATGATCTACAGCGGCAGGTAGGACAGACCCACAGACTCAGTTCCCTGTGGGGTCCCAACACGACCCAAGCAAGGGGTGCAGCCCCGTTTGGGTGGCCGTGTACGTACCCGTCCAGGATGGACTCTCTGCAGCAGTACAGGTTGTCAAACTTCTGCTTTGTGACCGAGTCGTTGACATTCATGGCTGGGACGCAGAGCTTCCCCGCTTTGGACAACTGGTACAGCCTGTTATGAATATGGGAAGAAACAAATCAACAACGTTTTTTTTCCTACACTCTACTGTTGCATGTTCTCGAGGTCTTGATTTGCTGGAGTGAGCAGCAGACATCTGGGGGGTCAAAGACGACCTCTTCATAGGAGCTCCTCATTTCAAGAGGAGAAATAGCACTCTTCCATGCACGGATGTTCATACCCATTTCCCTCCCCTCCTGAAGACCCACCAGGCTGGCAAGAGGCATTTCACAAAAGTGCCACACAGCAGATCAGAACATGCTCTAGACTCCACCTGCCTCAGCGGTTGATCACGCAACCATCCTCTGATGTCCTCAAAAAGAACAAAACCCCCAAATCCTGCTTCAGGTAACGTAAGAGGAGAGCTCCCGTCATTCCTCAAGCTCTTACAGCTCAAGACAAGCCGGGATGGCCACAGAAGGGTGACTTCCACAGCAACGTGAAGCTGCTGTGATCAACTCCTGCAGCAAGGCGCCCGTTTGAACAGCAGTAGGAGCGAAATCACCGAGATGCAGTGCGAGATGCAGTGCGAGATGCAGTGCGAGAAGCAACCAAGGTGGAGAAGACATCCACCTGACCTCCTGCTTCTGAGAGCAGACTCGACTCCTGGCGGCAGTAAAAACGCTAAAAATGAACCTAAACGCTCCGCTACGGCTACGAAAAGCATCGGAAAAGCATCTCCCTGCTCTAGACCTTGGGAAGGGGAACATGCTCCCTCGGTCAGGCTCTACAGACCACCTCCAGGCTTCTCCCCAGTCTCTCTTTGTCACCTGGGGAGCCTCAGTCACGACGTTGTCTGTCCCCTAGAGGCAAGAGGCACGCGTTCCCCGCACGCTCGCATCAATACCACCAACCTCAGAAAACTCCTGGCACGAGACCGCGGGGAACAATTTTTAACGCTGCTTCGTTCCTGCGCGTCTCTTTTGCCCATATTGGGAACGATTCCCGACGCTAAAAATACGACCCTGTCCTTTTCTTGACCCCACTGGCTGCAAACCTGAATCGGTCGCTCCCTTGTTTCAAGTATTTCGTTTCCCTGCTGCCGAGGGCTGCCTGCACCTCTGGCCAGACTCTCAGCCAGCTCCAAGAGCTGCAGCCAAGCCTTTCTCCCCGCAAAAACAAAGAAAAAAAAGCAGAGGCTGATGCTCTTCTCCTCAGTCCCTTATTTTCTGTCACCTGCAAGACGATTAACGCCACCGGAAAATCCCCGCTGATCCCTCTCCTGACCCCGGGAGCCAATTCTCCCATCACAATTCTGCTTCTGCTGCAGGCCGACGGATGTCACTCAGTCATACGGCCGCAACTCTGTGGTTCTCCCTTTCGGGACTCCCACCCCAACCGGAGACTCATTTCCTCTTCCCAAATCTCATTTCTTCCCACAGATTCAGTTTAGGACTACGCTTTTGACTTTCTCCAGTGCCCTTCCCTTCTGGTGCAACACGGTTTTTCACCTGCAAAACGAGGTGAGAGAACCATTGCCCCTACTTCCCAGGAACTTTGGGCACTTTTTCCACCCCGGCAATGGGCAGTAGGTGCTTCCACTCCTCGTCCGAAATTCAGAGCAGTGGTTCCAAGTTGCTTTCGCTACACACGAGATTCAAAACAGCTCTTACGGACCAGCCAAGCCCAAGCTGAAGGAAAACCACAGACCACGTATTAGGAGGTTCCACATTCAGCCGAGTCTGTGGCATCTTACAGCTTGGGGATCTTTTGCTACCAGTCTCCTGAGGCAGAAGATGCTTTTTTTTTGTCCAAACTTCCCCATGTTCCCAGTCCAGCCTGTCCCGTTACCTGTGGACACCAGTCACGCTCTCCTCTACTATCCCCTTGATCTTCTTAAACATGTTGGGATATTTCTTGTAAATCCAGTGAGTGAGATCACCCCCATCATCCAAGATCTGTAAGAAAAACAACCACAAAGTCACCGCTCTGAAGATCCAGTAAGGCCTGCTGACCCCAAAAAGGTACAACGGATCAATCACACACTCAAATTATTCCTCATCGAGCCCGTGTTTTGGCATCTCAAACACCACACTGTGACAGCTTAGGTGAGGCTACTCTGCTTGACCACGCCCAGCAGGAGCGCTGCTTCACCCATACTGTGCTGGAAAGGCAACGGGCCAGACAAACACGTTGGACCTTGATGTTTACCATGAGACCACAGGAAACATGGAAAAATGCTGTGGAAGCTCCTCTCCCCCTGTCTCCCCGAAGCACAGATGGAAAAGCCTTTGAACCATACAGAGTCATTGGCTTTCCTAGTATGACTGCTAATGGAGGAGGATGGAGGAGGATGGAGGAGGGATGGAGGAGGATGGAGGAGGAGGAGGAGGGATGGAGGAGGATGGAGGAGGAGGAGGATGGAGGAGGAGGAGGATGGAGGAGGAGGAGGATGGAGAAGGATGGAGAAGGAGGGGGCAGAG